GGAGGAAGGACGGATGCATATAGGAGGAAGCCGGAGGAGGGCGTGGAGGCAGCCGCACGGGTGGCTCCAGCGGAGCGGGAGGCACTCTGGGATCCGGCGCAGGGGTTCTGGGGAGCGAGGCCCGGGCTCGTTCTGCACTGGCCAGAGGAGGAGGGCAAGGGGGGCGGGCCTTGGAGGAGGAGGAGGAGGAGGAGGAGGAGGAGGAGGAGGAGGAGGAGGAGGAGGAGGAGGAGGATCCCCGCCCGCGTCCCCAAAAACAAGCCCTGCTGCGAAGCACCGACCCTGGCGCTGCCCAAACCAGGGGCACTAGATTGCTGCAAGAATGCGTACGCACTGCAAACACATGACATGCAGCGCATTGTCGAGCATCCGATCGCATAGCACAGCACAGCAACGCGCAGCGTAGCACCGCCTAACATCTCATGGCGTAGCACCTGGCGCGCTCCGCTTGCCAAGGAAGGGGGGAGACGGGGGGTCGAGCGCCCGCCCGCGGCGCTGGACCAAGAGGTCCGCGAGGAACTCCACGAGCGTATGTTCATGCCACGTGTTTGTTACTATGTCGAATCGACCTTGGCCCTGAGACCAGCTTCAACTGGCCTCCCCAACGACTCGCGCGCCAGCTCCATGGCTTTCTGCATGTGCCCCTTCGCGCCGCGCTGGGGGGACGCGGCAGCTTCTCCGATGAGCGGCACGACTCCATCCTGAGCAGAAATCGGGCCATCCAGCAACTCGCGGAGCGGACGAAAGGAGGGGTTAGCAAGGGTGGTTTGGCGAATCGGCTAGTCGAAGATCGTTCTCCCAGCGCACACGGCGACCAGTGCCTGGCCCGTGGCCGAAACTGGCTTCCTGCGACAGTGTTCGCAGTCAGTTCTTTCCCACTCTGCCTCTTCGTCGTCTGAGCAGCTCTCCCCAGGGGACTCTCGGGTCCACTTCCGCCCCGAGACTTAACTGTGACTTGGCTCCCAGAAACAATCGCGCCGCATCAGCGCCGCGCTGGGAAGGGGGTGGCACGGCAAATTCTCCGAGGGGAGCCCCTCGCACCTCGGCCACCTATGAGGCCCGAATCTTACCACCATCACCGATATCGGGGTCATCTTCCCTCGGTGGAGGCAACCGCCGAAACTGGTGCAGGTGCCAACATCCGTGCATTCGATACCTATGCCGCTTCTTGGCCTTCTCAAGAAAGGCTGAGTCCAGACGGAACAAGCCCATACGGAGACCGACCACTCCGTATGCACATACTCCGTATGGACTTAGCCTCATATCATCAGAAGCCGAGTCCAGGCGGAGTACTTCCATACGGAGACCACGCACTCCGTATGGACTCTCTCCGTATGTCGGGGGCGCGCAAACATGGATTAGCGATCCATGGACTTGGCGCGCGGTCGCCAAATCCATGGATCGGGGGAGGTACCCTCCCAACCTGTGCGGCCCGTGCCGCCTCGTCCGGCGGCGGAAGTCCGCGTGATTCCCCAGGGAAGCGGGACCCGTCGCGGATCCGCCCCCCTGGATCCATGTCTGCGGTCGCCTCAGAATGAACTTCGCCTCCTCTGGCCTCCCCCGCGGGACCTTCGCCATCCCCGGCCCCCGCTGCGAGGGCTGGCCCGCGGCCGCCCCGGCGGCCCCGGGCTCGCCCGCGGCTCCCTCTGCGGGCTCCTCGTGGTCCTTCGGCGCAGCGCGGGGCGGGCCCCGAGAATGTACACCACCACCACCACCACCACCTCTGCCCCCCCCTCCCTCCTCTACTCTCCTCTTCCCCTACTCTTTCCTGGGAGAGGGGGGGGGGAGGGACGTGGTGGAGATGTATATATATATATATGTATATATATATCTACAAGACTGCAGTGGCGCTTCGCGCCATGCACCTTGGTCCTTGAAGATTGGTATGCAGGCGGAAATGGCAGGAAGGTCAAGCGGACAATTTGCGATAACTCCTTGCTGCCTTTTCTGGCAGCGCCGACAAGAATGTTCAAGAGCTTCACGGATTGAGTGCGGTTCCTTTTCAAAATGTGGCTCTCGCCTTAGCGCCGCACACACTCGTCTTAAAAATTGTCCAGAGTTTCCTGGACTCCGGTGGTCGAAGTTTTTGGAAGGACTCAGGATTGTCAGGGCGCAATAGTTACGTTGATTCGTGGTGTTGAAGTCCCACGAATGGTGTTCTGGCACGACTCAGGATCGTCAAGACGCAACAGTCAGGTTGACTCGTGGCATTGGAGTCCTGAGAATGGTGCCTTAGCACGCTCGGTGGCATCCGAACCTTTATCTCCCAACGATGCAATTCCCTCAGTGGAAATGAACCTTTGTAGGGGCCTGTGAGGAGGGAGCATAGGAGGGAGGGTGTATTCCAACATCGTTGATGATTCTTGAGTTTGCTCTGGTCCTCCTCCTCCTCCTCCTCCTCCTCCTCCTCCTCCTCCTCCTCCTCCTCCTCCTCCTCCTCCTCCTCGCCCTCCCGCGGGCCCTAGGGATGGCCCGAAGAGGCCCTCCAAGGTCACTCCCTTGCTTCCAGAGATCTGTCAGTTCATCCTGGTTGCCCGCTCTGTTTCACTACATGAGCCTCTTCGTCCCTTATTCCCGTCAACTCTCATGGGCAACGTTTCTGAATGTGCTGGTGGGGGTACACGACGCGTGAAGAAACGACCCCCTTCCCTACGTCGCCCAGACGGATGCATCGATGCTGCGGCATAGGGGGCCGAAGGGGAGCCAGGACTCTGTGCCTCTGGGCTCCTGGGGCGATCAGTGCGAGGTCGCGCACAGCCAGCAGGACATCCTGCAGCAACACAACGACGTTGAGCACTCAGGCTGAGCAGATCTCTTCGGGAAGCCGAGCCGAAGCTGAGCAACAATGAGAATGTGCGGGAGGACGACGCAAAAATGAAGCGGGGGGAGATCTGGCCTTGCCCACCCGTGCCTGTTCTCTGGGAGGCAAACTCTAGACACACAAGCTACTGGAAGCTGGCGCTCCTCCATGATCCCCCTGGGCCGTTATGCCATCCCCTGATGATGTTTAATGTCATCAGGCGTGCTGATTGCGGACTGTTAGACCATCAAACCTGGTTGAGATGTCATGCCCCAAACAGACTAGCCCAGGAGTCCGACACTGGCTTTACCAGGCGCAGGTGATCGGCCTGCCGTCTTTGAACCAGCTTGGACCACCACGTGCTCCCCCACGTGCCAGAGTCGTCCGCTCAGATCTCACTGGCGGCGCGCACCAGGGGGCATAGGAGGGGTGAAGGCTCTGCTTCTCAGAAGCAGACTCCCTCTAAGAAGCCTTCCCCCCTCCCCCTACAGGGCAGTTTTTAATACATGGGATTGTTTAAAATGTGGGACTAATGTATGCATAAATTTATGCATGAACTCACCGTTGTTTTTAGTATTAAATCCCTGCATTTTTAATACATGATCCGCACGCGGAGCATGCATTCAAAACCGGCACTGTACCCCCCTCTGCGCGTGGCCGATCTCAGGGTTTCAGGGCGCCCTCCAGGGCAAGGGCACCCTGACTGGCATCCGCCCGCCCCGAAAGCTCCCCTGGGGCCACGCCGCTGGGCCTCGCTGGGAGACTCGCCCCCCCTGCTCGGATTCCCAGGGCAGAGGATCGTCAGCGGCAGCTGCTGCCGCACGCACGCACGCGAGGTCAAGCATCCAAAAGGGACACGCAGGCAGAGAGGAGGTGCACGGTGTGCACAGTGGCCAGCCTCCGAGCGGGGCGGCTGGGAGAGCGCACCCGGAGTGTGCACAAAAGGCCGATCCCACGTGCGCGGTCAGACAATCTTTGATCTGCGGGGCGAGAGCGAGCCTCTTCCGCTGAAAGCCAAGCGGGACGCGCACAGCTCCAATTGGCAGAGAGAGGGCGAAAGCAGGCGGGGCCTCACGGCGGCCGGGAGAGGGCGAAGCCCGTACGCAGTCCGACAGTCCACCTCCCGAGGAGGAGGATGGAGCAGGAGGAGGAGGAGGAGGAGGAGGAGGAGGAGGAGGAGGAGGGAGGAGGAGTAGGAGGAGGAGGAGGAGGAGGAGGAGGGGAAGGAGGAGGAGGAGGAGGAGGAGGAGGAGGAGGAGGAGGAGGAGGGCGGATGAGGGAGTAGGAGGAGGATGAGGGAGGAGGAGGAGGGTAGAAGGAGGAAGAGGAGGAGGAGGAGGAGGGAGGAGGAGAGGAGGAGGGAGGAGGAGGAGGAGGGGAAGGCGAGATGATGAGGAGGCGGAGGAGACTAGAGGCGGAGGGAGGAGGAGGAGAGGTTGGAGGATGAGGAGAGGAGGAGGAGGATGAAAAAAAACCAAAAAAAAATAAAAAAAAAAAAATACAATCAAAAACAAAAAAACACACAAAACACACTCAAACACAAACACAAGATGGTGGGCACGGCAAAAAAACATAACCCCAAAAACCTCCGGGTGGGGTGTGGTGGGGTGAGGCAAGTATGATTGCGTTATGAGTCAGTCCGTCCCTACAGTCCGTCAGTACAGCTGCTTCCGGGTCTCCTCGTCCCAAAAACCCTCCTCCCTCCGATCCACCCCCCTCCCCTCCACGCGCCGCGCCCCGCGAGGCGCGCGCGGCCACCTCCGCGCCCCCTCGCGGGGGCCCACCCCGGAGATGGGCGGCTCTCCGGCCGAGGCCGCGACGCACGGAGCGCGATCGCTTGCGCGCCCCTGGCTGGCGCAGCTCGCGCCGAGAGCTTCGAGCATCGTTCAACCGATCCCCATCCCACTGGCGTGGCCTGGGCCCCACTGGCCTGTCTGCCCCCCCCCCCCCCCGGGCGGGGATGGAGGCAATTCCCTTCGGGCTTCGAGGGGGCGGGGGCCTTCCCCCACCGGGAAGGGGCGCGGCGGGACCGGGATGCCACGGCCTGGTGAGGCTGGGCGATCGGCTACAGACGATGCTGAAGCCTGCCGCGGGGCCTCCCGCGCGGGGAAGGCGATGTCCACCAGGTTCAGCAGCTGCACGACGTGCGCCCCCTCCACTCGCAGGTCGTGCCGGCGTTCCAGGCCCGGCGGCAGCGAGCCTGGGGCCGCCGCGAGCAGGCAGGCAGAGGAGGCCACGCTCCCCGAGGGGCGCACGGGCTGGTCAGCAGAGGGCACTCAGGGCTCCTGCCACGATTCGCTGCGCCTGCCTCGTGCGGCTGGTTGGGCTAAAACCAGGACGAGGATGGTGTCACGATGCCATTGGCTCAGAACACGTGTCGGAACATCCAGGAGTGCCTAGCAGCGGCTCTCTTTTCTGCAGCACGTGTGGAACGATAGGGAACATTGGAGAGATGGGAAAGCTCCGATCCCATCACCATCAGATTGGGGGTCCCAAAGCTTGTGCGGCTTCGGGGCCCCCCATCTCGGAGGCCCCCAGCGCTCGAGAATTACCCTGGGAGAGCGGCCCGAGGGCCACAACCGTGCGGCCGCCCCGAGTCCCCGCCGACTCCCCACGCGACGCCGCCACGGGGCTCCCCGAAAGCGCGCGTGTCGTGTGCCACCCGGCTTCTTCGGGGTGGGGAGGGGGCCACGACGTCGCAGGCAGCGCCAGACGACAGACGCCCATGATCCGCTCGCCCTCCGCCGAGGAACCCGGCCTAGCAGCACGATCTTGTGGAAGTTTCCTGCCCTCCTGCCCTCGGGGTGGCCAACTGACCGCCAGGAACCCCCTGGAACCCGAAAGGAAAGACAGAGAGAGAGAGAGAGAGAACAAACAAACAACAGGAACAAATTCAAGCATTCATACATTCAACTATAAAAAAACAAATGTACACATGAAGAGAGCAGAACAACGTTTCGCGCTTCGCGCGAGCTCAGGCCCCAGCAAGCTCTACTGCAGTCTACAGTGTTCCGTATTGGAGGACATGTCTTGTCGCATGGGTCGTGCCCCTCAGGGAGCTCCACCTGCGGCCCCTGAGACAGGCTTGGCTAGCGTTCCCCCGTCCTTGTCGACACACCCCTCACAGGGATCGCGCCCCACAGGGAGCTCCACGTACGTCCCCAGAGACAAGGTTCGCGTAGTGGTACGCCCCTCACGCGTATCGCGCCCCGCAAATCGCTGAATCTGCGGCACCTGAGTGAAACTTCATAGCGTCGCCCCGCTCGCTTGGGCACACGTCTCACGCGGATCGTGGCCCGCACGGAGTTCCACGGACGGCCACAGAGACAAGGTTCGCATCCCGCCCTCCCGTCTACTTCAGCACAACTCTCCACCGACGGCCCCAAAGGCAAGTCTAGCACTGCGCCCCCCCCCCCCCTGGCCACTACGGCACACCCCATCACGCGGATGGTGCCCACCAGGAGCGCCACCTACTGGCCCAGAGACAATGTTCCCCACAGACCCATCCGTTTGCCAAGACGAACGCATGTCGGACAACCCTATCTGTATAGAGCTCACTCTCAGTAGCCACTGGGAACATAACGAGAACGCTGGCCGTGTTGCCCACAGCCGCCGTGGAGGAGGAGGAGGTGAAGGAGGAGGAGGAGGAGAAGGAGGAGGAGTGAGGAGGAGGAGGAGGAGGAGGAGGAGGAGGAGGAGGAGGTTGGAGGAGGAGGAGGAGGAGGAGTGAGGAGGAAGAAGAGGAGGAGGAGGAGGAGGAGATAGAAGACCACTGGCTTTCTTGATGTTCTTGGTCGTTGGGGGCGGTTTCTTAGCGGTCCCTTGTGCTTTCTCGGCTGTCTTGGTTTCCTTGGTTGCCTGGCCTGCCCGCGGTCGCCCCGAGGACCCCAGACTTGCCGACGGCGGGCCGCGGGCAGACCAGACAACCCCCCCCCAAAAAAAAAGAAACAAGAAGACCGAGAAGCACACATCGAAAAGCCAAAAGAACCTCCCCAGAAACCCCAAAAAAATCAAAAGAACCTCCCCAGAAACCATAAAAAACTCCCAGAAAGCCAAGAAAACACATTGGAAAACCAAAAGAACCTCCAAAACACATTGGAAGACGACCAAAACACTCCAAGAGAGCCAAGAAACGAATCAACCCACTGGTTTTGGGCGAGCGGTGGCCGGGCGGTTCCCGCGATGGTATCCATCGCGAAATCGATAGTGGGAGCGACACTGGTACCGCTAGAGCGGGATGGGTAGTGATACCAAAAAAGAGATCGACCGTGAGGTTGATATGTGACATGGGTTACGATATCGATAGTGACATCGATAGAGAACAATCGATAGTGAGATCGATCGTGAGATCGATCGTGAGATCGAAAGCGGGATATACAGGGAGATCTATAGTGAGATCGGGAGTGATATTCATAGCGAGATCGATCGAGTATGATCCATCCTATAAGGTCGATCATGGGATCGAGCGAGTGACATCATATCGCAGGGCAATATCGTCATCATGCGTCGTTGCTAATTCGAGGACGCGTCACCAGCAATGTCATCATCACACCCATCGCATTTGCCAACAATTGATCATTTACCCACCCCCGCCCGCAACCGTCATTATCACCCGAAGGGTGACGTATGTGTGTGTATATGTATACATACCTGTTCGCATACAGAAAAACGAACATAAAATCAACAGAAAAAAACTAAAGAAATGAACAAAAAAAGAGAGAGGGAGAGATAGAGAGAGAGAGAGAAAACAAAACAAAACAAAAAAAAATGTAGCATTATGTTCCTCCTGATTCCCCAAACAGTGTTGGCACTTGGGGATTCTTACTTCCTTTCCAAGTAACTGGGCCTGCCCGTCAGTATGGCGGCTGTGGTCGCCGTCGCCGCCCCGTCGCCGCCTCGTCGCCGCCCGTCTTCTGGGCCTGCCCGTCGGTCTGGCCACTCTTTGGTCGCCGTAACAGTCCCGTCGCTCTGGGCCTGCCGGTAGGTCTGGCTTCTATATGGTCGCTGTCGCCGCCCCGTCGCCGCCTGGGCTAGCGGTACATCGCATTGCTTTGTATGACTCTGCATTGCACTACACTGACTAACATTTGTATATTTGCGTTCCTTTCTCATTGCCTCACATTTATTTCCATTGCGTCGCTTCCACCACATAGCTTACACAGAATAGGGTCTCCGGTTTGAAAGACGCATTGGGAACTACCATCCACCCCACACCCTTTCAGGATTATCCGCCGGCGTTTTTGCATTGCAATGTACACACGACGCTGCCCCATCGCCCATCCGAGATATGATGCACGACCATGCGAGCCAGGCCGGGCTTGACCCCCCGACCATCCACTGCAAGAAAACTGTGCGTGCACATTCGTTTCTCAAAAATCACCGTGTCTAAGAAGTCCCTCGGGAAAACCTGGACGAAGTGCAAACGCGCGCGTCGTGGCGCGCGCATGCCGGAATCCTTCAACAACCTTTTGGTTTCGTAAGGACCTCAAAATCGAGTGTCCCGAAAACATATTGAAAATATTTATAAACCATAAAATGTGCGCGCGTAATTCCGAATTTTAACGAAAAGCCATGACTTGTTAAACAATTTCATGAAGTTCGACCAAGCGGGTCCCTTGCGCGCACATGTCGAAAACACCCGAACGCCCTTGCGAACGTGCGGGGGGGGGGGGCACGATGCCTGTCAAATGAATAGCGCGAGAATGTCGGAACCCTGCAAAAACTCTCATCACCGACGCGTGGACGCCACCATCGTCGTCGGCGTGATCCGCCGTCATTGACATTGCCGTCGTCAGCGTTATCGTCGTCATTCGCATTTCTGCAATCATCATCGCGCCCGACGTTGTCGGGATCGCCATGATACAGCGCCCACCAGAACCACTGACTCGCACTCTAACGTGCCCGCGCGTCAGCGCGGCCTGTGACACGCGCTGGGAAGTCCCCAGCGGTCAGCGCCACCGCGGTCGCTCCTGTCGGGCCAAACTAGCTCGCCGCTGTGCGCGCGAGCATACGAGTGCTAGCGCGGTCACAAGGATGCGCCAGGCAACACCAAGCACTCATCGCAATCGCCACCGCATGGGATTTGCAAACCAAGATGTGGGTGGGTGGGTGGGATGTTTGCGCGTGCAATGGAGTTGACAGTTCCAGATTTTTCGAAACTAATTGCACTGCATAGGTTGCACCACGTAGCTCACACCACATAGATTGCAGCACACAGTTCATGCCAGATATTTGGGACCGCATAGGTTGCACCACATAGAGTGCACCATATTGAATGCATCACATACTGTACACTGCATATATTGCACCGCATAGCTTACACCTGGCACATCGAACCACATACTTTGCGCCACCTAGATTGCACCACATACTATGCTAGAACACATTGTTCGGGGTCCACGTTGGCTAACCTATGAACTCTCATTATATTCCTCGTCGCCCCCCCATTTCTCCTCTGGCCGCGGGTTTGTCGACCTTGATGGTATTGCCGGGGCCACCCGTAGACACCGATCGATACCCCCTAGTCCTCATCGAAATCACCACCATCCTCCCCATCACCACCATCAACCGCAGCTCCTCATCCTCCCCATCGTCATCCTCCTCATCACCCGCACCACAACCAGCCACCATCATCATCGTCAGCGTAATCATCCTCATCATCATCATCATCATCATCATCATCATCATCATCATCATCATCATCATCATCATCATCATCATCATCATCATCATCATCATCATTATCATCATCATCGTCATCATCATACCACCACACCACCACCACCACCACCACCTGTTACTGACACATGCATACTATGACTGGGAGTCCAAGTGCACATCTACTTTGGGGAGTCGCAAGTGCGCGGCAGCGGAGAAGGCATAACATCCCTACGCAAAGCCACAACAGGTTACGGAGGAGGGACATAGGGGGGCGCGCACGGGTGGGCCCCTTGGGGCCATCGACGGACAGCAGGCCAATCCCACCAGCCCTCTGGGCGTCGGTGGTTTAGAGCGTTTCCTCTTCCACCCCTCCTTGTTCCCCTTCGGGGAGGTGTGTGCCCCTCCCCCATACCCCCTCCCCATGGACCTTGACAAGGGGTTTCGCGAGGTGTCGGGACGTCCAAAACGGCCTCGGCGAGGAAGCCAAAATCATTGGTTCTACTAGGGTTTTGGCCCCATTTTGGCCTCCTGATGGGGGGG